ACTCAAAAAAAAAAAAAAAAAAATCCAGGGGCTCTGAGGACGAGCAGTAGCCAGTACAGGAAGCTATTGCTGGTCTGAGCAGACAGCACAGGGGATGGAAACTAGGAGTGGGAAAAGGAAGCTGTAATTGGAACGGAATGTTGTAGAGCTGCCCAGTTGGTGATGCGAGGAAGGGTGCTGTGGAGTCAGGCAGGACAGGGACCACGTCCCCCTGCAGGGACCCCTGCTGTCCTGGGTGTAGCTTCGGAGTGGGGTGTGCTGGAGTAGGGGTTTGGGAAGGGCCTTGCTGGGCCGCCCCAAGGTCTGAGGCTCCCCCTTCCATGCCCCAGACCCTATCCATGCCCCTTCCCATGCTACCACCTCCAGCCTGTCCACTGTCCCCTTCTGTGGGGCTCCCGGGGCATACAGCATGGTTTGAAATAGCTGCCACCTCACCTTGCAAGCCTGTAATCCCAGGGGCTGGCTCCTGGGTAAGCAGGGGAAGGCTGAATAGCCTTCCAGGAGGGGAAGTGGGAGGAGGGGGACGCTGCAACCAGGCCGATAACTGCAGAGGCAGCCCTGCAGGCCCAGCTTATGGGGGGCACCATGAAAGCGGGTGGTGAGTCCAGCCTGGGGCACAGTTCGAGGGTACCAGCAAGGATGCCCCCCTCATTCCTCTGGAGGTTTATCCTGACTGCCGGCAGCAGGCAGGCTGGGACTGAGGACTTCCCCTTGACACAGGGGTGTCTCTAGGGATCCCTTCAATGCCTGGAGCAGGACCTCTTCACCCCACAGGAGGGGTTCCACCTCCCCTGGGCCTGCAGGTGTCCTGCACACAGCTGGCACCTAAGTGGGCTGCCTGTATCCAAAACTGTCTGTCTGTCCCCAGGAAGATGAAGTGACTCCCCCAGTCTTATCAGGAGGGAAACAGCTAGGGGGCCTCAGCTGTACCCTGGCCGCTGAAGGCCTCTCCACAGAGGAAATAGGCAGAGCCACAGCAATGGTGCTAATCTTTCTGTTGATGGGTCCCAGCCTGCACCCAAGTGTGTCCCAGCTTGTTGGGGAGGCAGGGGAAGGCGGCAAGGGTGGCTTTGGGGTGCCTGTTCTGGGAGCGGGGCTCTGGGGGGCACCAGAGAGCGATCTAGGCCTGACCCGCCAGTAGCTGAGCTGCTGGCTTCCTCAGCTCCCCGACCACAACCACAACCCCCACCCTCACCCCCACCCCGAATTCTTGGGGTCTGCAGAGGGAGGGGCCAGGAGCAGAGCTGTAGCCCCACAGACACCTCATAGGGATGGAGCGCCATATCCCGTCAGCAGGTGGGCTCTAGATTAGAAGGGCGGGCTCTGCCCTGTAACTCAGCTAATCCCGACCATCAGGCCTCTGACCTCTGACCATCAGGCCCCACCGAGCCACAAGGGGACCACTGGTGTGGAGAGGGCCTGGGCTGGGGTTGAATGGCTGGGCCATGTCCACACTTCTCCTGCAGGCTGTGGGACCAGCCTGGGACTGGAGGCTTCCCTGAACCTCCCACCCCTCACAGAGCTTCTGTGAGCAGGAAGGGGAACAAGGAGGCCTTATGCTCACAGAGGTACCTGGAGTGGGGTGCAGAGATGCTGTTCAGGGATCCCAGACACCCCCCACCCAGTCTGACGCACCTCATCAGCGGGTCGATCCAGTTCTCCTTCACGTGGGCTGTCTCGTAGATGAGGCTCCACTCATCCTTGATCCACGAGCACAGGTTTAAGGGGTTGAAAAAGAACCCAAGGAACTGAGGGAGGAGGAGGAGTTACCCGGCAGCCAGAGACAAGAAGGTCAGGGCATCACGGGGCCGCTACTGTCACGGTTGCTCTACAGGTGCTAAGGGACTTTGGCCCTCAGGACAGCCATCCCTGTAGGGTCCTTAGTGAAGAAGGGGCACCACCCCTGCCCACCTGCCCCAGCCCAGCTGGGTGCCTCCTTGCCAGGGGTAACCCCAAGTGTCCAGCCATCTCCCTGGGACCTGAAAGGTCCCACACACCCACTTAGGTGCAAGTACTTGGTGGGGACGTGTGGAAAGCTGCCTGTCTCCCCCACTCCTGCCCCAATGCAGCCTCTAGAATTCCGAGAATGAAATGGCATCATTTTCTGTAACCCAACCCCTGGCCTTACCCAGGGCATTTTCAGAGGGTGGGCTCTGGGGAGTCCCCTGAACATGAGAAAGACCAGGGAGCCCCTGTCCACTCAGGGGTGGTGACTTGTCCACCCAGCCCCCTGCAGTGTGCGGCTGGTCCCAGCACTAGGATTGAGGCTACTCTCTACCCCCACCTAACTCCTCCACTTCCAAACCCCCACCCTCACACTCAGCATCTTAGCTGGGCTGCTGTCCCCACCAGGGCTATCTGTTACGAGGTCCTGTTTTCATTGGGGTGCAGTGAAGGCAGCCCTACCAGGGAAACTGCTGGAGTGGGGAGTGAGGTTCTGGAGTGGGTCTGCAAAGCCCTCTGCTGTCTGGTGGATTCCTTGAAGCTACCAGGACTAGCAGTCCGCCCTGTCTCTGGGTCACCCGCCAAGAGGGATGAGCACCCTCTTTTGTGGAGATCACAGGCTGAGGTTGTCACGTCACTCCTGATCATGGTGGTGACAGCATCCAAGGTATGGTCATAGAGCATCCCTGGGGAGTCCATAGAGTGGCCATCCTGTCCCTAACAGCTTGCTCCCCTCTTCAAGGCCCACACCGGCCTCTCCCCGGAGCCCTGAGGTGATGCAGAGACCCTGATGGAACTGGCACCACCTAGTAGGGCACAGGGTTTGGAGCAGAAGAGGAAAGCCCCTGCACAGGCCATCACCACCTCCCCCTGCAGCCTCTCAGCTCCTTGGGGGATTTGTGTGGTCTCTTTCCATAAATCTTCTTCCAGAAGCTCTCTGGCACCTACATTGTGGGGCAATGCCCTGGCCCCGAGTATGGTATGAGTCCAGAACCTGAATCTTCATGTCTACCTGGGCTGTCTGTCCTGGACCAGCTCCACCTCTGTGGGACCCAGTAAAAGATGAAATGTGGCCCTAGTTTCACATTACTAAGCATTTCTAGACGGTGACAGCAGGGCAGAGCCAATGCCGGCTCTCTGAGCTGGCAAAGCTGACCCTGGGCCAGTCTCACAGCATCTCAGAAAATGCCATCAGTTTTGCTTCTTTCTCATAAAAATGAAGACCATCACAACTTACTTATGTTTATACATAGGTAGGAAAACATGTCATTCGGGCAACCCTCTTTCAGGTCCCCTCCCGCTATGAAAGCTTTTCTGTCTTCATAAACTCATGCTTTCTCAAAAAAAAAAGTGAAGTGCTCTCATTCCACCTATCAGGTGGCTGCGGTGCTGAGGCTGTAGCCTTCATGGGGTCTACTGCTCCATGTCTCTCACTCTCCCAGGCTGGGAACAGCCCCCACAGAGCCGGCTGCTTCCTTCTAGAGAGGCCTCAAAGTGCTTGGGCCCAAGGTCTTTTCCACTGTCTTCTCCAGGGTGTGGCTCTCTGGCTGGTGGCTGCCCCTCCACATGGAGGAAGAAGGAGCTAAAAGCCAAAATCCTGGTCTGAGAATTGGCTTTGCTACAAACTTGCTGTGTGACATGGGGCACGTTTTTCAACCCCTCTATGCCTCAGTTTCCTCAACTGTGGGATGAGTACTGTGTAGGAGAGACTTCACTGGGTCATTGTCAGGATGAAGAAAGAACAAGAACCGTGAGTTCACAGAGGAAACTTAGCCCATAGAGAATTTTGGTTGGAGCTGGCCAGTCACAAGTATGCACTGCAGGCATGGCTATTCCGGTCTGCTGGTCTAGAGGCCCCAGGTGTCCCAGCTTCCCACAGAAGTGGCCCCAGCCAGGTGCTGGCCCTTGGGGCCTGCTGAACCTCTTCCCTCGGTCCCCCTGAAGCTGGATAGCCCCCTCTGGAGGGAGGAGAGGCTATTCTGGGATTGGAGCTTAGAAAAGAGTCAGAAGAGGCCCGAGAGGTTTCCAAAGGCCCAACAAACAGACAAGGACTCTCTGTCCCGACTTATAACTAAAAGTTGGAAGTTGTCACCCATGACACTGTGAGGAAAGGAAATCAGATTTCCCCAGAAAAAAGAGAGTACATTCACCTGACCAGAGGGTGTCAGTTGTGTGTGTGTGTGTATGTGTGTGTTTGTTTTAAGAGACTGGGTCTTGCTCTGTTACCCAGGCTGGAGGGCAGTGGTATGGTCATAGGTTACTCCAGCCCCAAATTCCTGGGTTCACATGATCCTCCTGTCTCAGTCACCTGTGTAGCTGGGACTACAGGTGGGCGCCAGCATGCCTGGCTTGTCAGTTGGTCTGAGACACAGAATAAACCCACCGGAGTTTCTTTTGTTGACATCAAACAGAAAGGTCGGCGAGGGTCAGACAGACTTTGCCTTCTGGGTTTCTGGGCCTCAGAGGCAGGCAGGAGGCGACTCACCTTGTGCATCTTCACAGCAGGCTGAGACTTGATGATATTACAAAAGAGCTGGAAGCCAAGCTCCTCCAGCAGGAACATGGCCAGGTAGCAGATCACTAGGAAACAGGGGAGCGGACATGGGATGAGAGGAGACCCCCTGATCTGGGGAATTCTGTCAGAGGTTAAGGGACAGCACGGGGGCTCCATGGCTCCGTGGAAACAGAGCCCAAGGTCTCCACCCCATCAGGGCACGTAGCTACAGGCAAAAACCCCCATCTGGTGTTCACCTAAAAATGAACCTAGTGCAAACAATGCAAACGCCATGGTCTTACATGCACAGGGCATCTGTGGCTTTCAAAGCATGCCCACAAATACTACCCATTGGATGAATTCTCAGAACTTGCAAAGGTTCCCTGGGTAAAAGTGAAATCATCTTGAACTTGAGTTTGTGAATTCTGAGAGGTGAATCGCCTCAAGTCGGCTGGAGCAGGCAGAGCCTGGGTCTGAGGTTCCTCCGAGGCACAGCCTGTCCGTAGCAGCTTGGGTGTGTGGTGGAGACATGCTGCTCACCCTAAGGCCCTCGCTGGGAGGCCAGAGGTTGGCAGGATCCCAGAGCTCAGGCCTCCCAATGCCTGTGGCCTTCAACCTGCTCCCGTCCCCTCCTGGATGGGGGTAGCAAAGCCATGTGCAGATCCCAGGGCTGCCGTGACCTCCCTCAGTGGTAGCACTGGCTATGCTGCCCACCATGGTCTGTCCTGTGGAAGCAGATGGCCATCAGAGACTGTGGGAAGCCCAGGCAGAGATGTCTCACATAGTTAATTCTCCACAGGATGGTCCAGACTGTGTCCATAGGGTCTGCTTGCCCAAAAGCCTTGGGAGCAGTACCAGAAACTCAGCTTATGAAAATCTCCTCACCTCATCCATGCTGACCTTTAGGCAGGCTACACCTTGCTTAGGGGCCAGAGGCTCTGGACAGGGGCAGCAGCAAGGCCGAGCTCTGTGCCTTGAGCCTGGCCCCAGTGAGCCCAGGGTATCAGTTTCCCCGTCCATAAGGTACACAGGTGCACCTGTACATGATCAAGTGAGATGGGGCCGTGAGGCCTGCAAGAGGAAAGAGCGCCAGATATGCGGAAGCTGGGCCCTTGCATGTGCTGCAAAGCATCTCCCTGTGGCCTCTGTGAGGCCATTCTGTGGAGCGTCTGCAGCTGATGGTCTCTGCGGCCCCTTGTACAGCAGGCAAGGTGGCAGACCTGGCCCTCGGGACAGGGCAGGCACCTACCCTGGAAGCGGTTGTAGTCAGCCCACAGGCAGAGCCGGCCATCCCGCACGTAGAAAGCATCCACCACGACGGTCAGTAACTTGCGGTACTCAAGGCACCCGGATAGTACCTCCAACACGAATGCCTGCTTCTGGGAGCTCAGAGCCTGGAAGAGAAACAGCTGGTGGGGCACCTGCTAGGCCAGGAGGAAAAGGCAGCCCCTTCAGACATGAGTGCTCAGGCCTCAGGGTAGAGGTGGAAAACATGGTGCAAAGGCAAAGGAGGGGATAAACCCCACGTGGCTGGGAAGAGGCCAGTTAGCAGGACCCTCCTGGAGCAGCTGGCAGTGCCCAAGGCAGTCAGGAACATGGGACACTCCGGGACTGGTACCATAGGTACTCCAGGCTAGTGACAGTGAGGTGGTGTAAAGACCAAAATGAACACAGAAAATGACGAGACAATAAAAAGAACAACACAAGCTGGGCGCAGTGGCCCACTCCCGTAATCCCAGCACTTTGGGAGACGAGTTGAGATGATTGCCTGAACCCAGGGGTTTGAGACCAGCCTGGGCAACTTGGTGAGAACTCGTCTCTATAATAAATAAAAAAAGCAGCCAGGCCCAGTGGCATGCACCTGAAGTTCTACTTGAAAGGCTGAAGCTGAAGGATTGTTTGAGCTCTGCCAGTCGAGGCTGTGGTGGCTGTGAGTGTGCCACTGCACTCCCAGCCTGGGTGGACAAAGTGAGATTGCCTCAAAAAACCCCCCCAAAACAAAAAAAAACTCACACACACACAAAGATAAATATTGTGTGGTTCCACTTAAATGAGAATAGGTAGAAGGACAAAACTATGAACTTCACAGCAACTTGGATGGACTTAGAGTACATAATACTCAGTGATCTAGCACAGAAACAAAGAACTGAGTTCCACATGTTCTCACTCATAAGTGGACCCTGAACAATTATCATAACACTTTAAGAAAGGGATTGGCGCCGGGCTCGGTGGCTCAGCCTGTAACCCCGTGCCTTGGGAGGCTGAGGTGAGTGGATTGCTTGAGCCCGCGGGTTCGGGACCCGCCTGGGCAA